ATACTGTCGCCTCATCATAGTGTCGACAATGTTTTGACAGTTTTACAATGTACAGTCTGAGGATAAATGGTTATTTCTAAGGCTGATGTACACAGATCCTGTATACTCATATCATTCTCAACACCAAAGAAGGATGGGTCAACTGGAGTCGGGGGAGTTGCCTCCCCTTGTGTAATCTTCTTTCTCCTTGCTGTCCACAAAATAACATCAGTCACATCCAACATCGTATCACAGTATTTGGAATTGCGTATCAAACCTCCCTCTCATCCTTAAAAATGTCTGTGTGCCTAATATGCAAACTTCAAATAAATCACAAATATTATGTACAATAGACATTGGAAACCTGGAAGTGTACATACATGTTTAATGATAACTTCATCATATTCTCATGGGTCAAGTTAGGGCGGTCCACAACTAACACCAGGTGTCGAGACACACAGATCTTGTCAGGAGTAGTTTTCTGTATCGACACAGAAGCAAGTAACATAGGACACGTCTTTAAAGAGAAGGGGTAACCTGCAAAAACAATCTTTCCAAAGTCTGGACAGAACAATCACCTGTGTGCATGAAATTTATTACAAAACATGTCTTTCGGACAGAAATATTCAAAAGTGTCCTGTTGTACTGCACCCTATGGTACGTACCCCTGACAAAGTGTATCACTACAACCACCGTCTGAGGACAACCTTCCATACAGGGTCGTCACCATGAGTTGAAGCCAACTAGACCACAGCCTGTACTTACGGTTCATGTCGTACCACAGTATGGGCTAAACTAGTCTTCAGCTTAGTGTCAGTGTCCAACCCTACCTACCACTGCAGTTACTGATGGCGTACATACACCACCAAGCCTTCAGTCGTGTCCAGATCAAGATGCCCTTCCACAAGTGATCCCAGCACCAGCCACTCCTTGTTTTGATGCAGACGTTTAGTAATCTGAGTAAGTATAACCCTGGTTAGCACTATCATAGGCCCTATCTTTAACATGGGCATACGATCAGCATGTCCGTGTATGCACTGTAGTGTTTACTACACACAAAATGCCCAAACGTATCTGCCTCACCAGTTGTGAAAAATCATTTCCGCTTGGAAAATGTCAGTATATTAGTTCCATTTAAACTTAACAAGAACGCTTGTTATCGGTTTTGTTTTATTTCTGTGTGTCATATGCAAAGAAATGATGAATTTGTCTAAATCCAAGTAGTCATAAGTCCTGACTGGACCCCCGAATATGCTGCAGTTATCTCCCCTAGATGGCAGTGGGCATGCTGATGATGATGTGAATGTGAGCACTATCACACGTCCTAGCTTTGATGAGGGGCTACAATAATCTTGGCACTGGGATCCTGGGTTTGTGAAAACACACATCTGATTCCAGCTCATCAGGTTCCCCAAACTGGAGACATTAAAGCTTCAAATGGATGCTGATTGATTTCATGACATTTCATAAAGCAGTCAAATCTGTACAATGTCAAATACAATGGTGATAGCCATGCCATCTTTATGTACACAAACTGTACAAATACACTTTGAGAGTTGAAACACTCCCAAGAACCTCTCATGTTTCTTACACAGGGCAGACTGTGGTGGGTGGTCACTCTAGAAACATGTCGCCAAACGGATTAAACACTCTCATTACAGAATATAACATACTTCAACACAGGCAGTCATTATTTTTGGCCATTCTGATTTCCTTAAAATGATGTGAATTTTGAAGACACTAGACACAAAGCACACAATATGTAAAGCAAGATGTATGGCACAAGGCTTGGAGATTCCTGCTCTGCGTTATCCCAGCAAGCAAACAGCTGACACTGCAACTTCGCTACAAAGGCAGTACATGGAATGTGAGGCATGGAAAGAAGCATACTGCTCTTTGGAATTGTCATTTCCTAATGTCTCTGTACCCAATCTCATTTAAATCAGACCTTAAGTTCTCGCTCCCGCTGAACAAAGATCTGAGGACATGCCATTACGGGTCACGTCAGAACGACCTTTCGCAAACTTTGACCGACCACTGAAACGACTAACAAGAAGTCGACATCAGCCAATTAGAAAGCCGCTTTCTCGAGCTTTACTGCACTCGTTTCAACCTGGCGACTTCCATTTCAGACTATGCTTGAAAAATATGTTGACACAGTTCTCGATTAAAATTTTGAAAACTGGACAAACGAACATTGCAGAATGTCTAATATATGGTTGCGATTGTTTGGCAGTGCTTCCCACGTACTGTGCAACGCCTCCTCTGTTCTATTGTTTATCCCACGGAAGCGAGAGATAGACGATAATTTTGACCGAATCAGTCGAACAGGCCGTAACTGTCGTTCGGAATACCCCCAGTTAACGTTTTCGAGATTGCATGACTTGAAAACACATTCCGACTGTCACTTGATCTAGTAAGCTACGCTTTGATTGGTCGGATGAAAGGTCGTTCCGACGTGACCCGTAATGGGATGTCCTCAGATCATTGTTAAGCGATAGCAAGAACTAAGATCTGATTTTAGTGAGATTGCTCTGTACCCAAAACAACATCTGCAGGGAAAATAAAGTAACAAATAGTTGCATCAATTATTTCAGTTCTCAATTTGGCTGATAATGAAATATTATCACCTATAGATACTGCAGGAAACAGAAACAACACCTGTCACTTAACAATTAATATTTTTTACGAACTAAGTTGTTGGATAAATCCTGCTAATTAAGTAAACAAGAAACTGACTTCTACTGTTTAAGTTTAAAGGCCTTTAAAGAATTAAGAGAGGATATAGTTCACTACAAAGGGAGACTACTCTAAAATTGAATAAATAAGAACATCACACTTGTCATACAGGAAGTGCTTACAAAATAAATCTGAACAGGAGAAACTATCACTTAGTTTTGTATTGCACATTGATTCCCCAAATGTCATTACTCTAGGAACATCTTTAACACTCATTTTGATTCTATTCAGGAGAGCACGGAAGCCCAAAAGTGCAGATTAATTTCAACTTATAAATGATTATACTTACACGTTACTTGAAGCAAACAAACGAGTAAGGGATACACACGGTTTCAGGAGACAAAATGAATAATACTTTAGGGAAAGTAGCGAGACAACAGCTTCCAGTTACCATGGTTACAAAGCTTCACACACAATATATATCAATGAAGACTTAGTAGACTGGGTATTTTTGTAAATATTTGCCAATCTCATACAATGAAACAGCAACAGGGTATTAATAAGATCGATTTATCAAGTAAAATTCAAAACTGTCATTGGAGATTATTATTGCCCAGCTTCCATTATGGAAACACTTTCAGCCATTACTGTTTGGTTGTGTAGTACCTATCAACTGTTAGTCGAGTCATACTAGCAAAGTCAATATGTAGGTACATGTCATATCTGCTCTTCACTTCCAGACTTTCAGCCAGCTATCTACAGGTCCAGTGATCTTCAGATGGCGGAGACATTAGGGACACTATCTGTTCTCCAGTGTCAGCTAGCTAGCATTATGCAACATAACTACATCACAAACATCACATCTCGGAATAATGCTACCCAGAAAATATGGACCATTTCAGGCTTCGCAAAAGTATTCTGCCACCTACTGAGAGTGCCATGTCCACCCTCCCGCCCGCTACACAACAGAGAGGGTCAGTGTAATATCTCTCACATTTATACAGAAACATCAGTGACCAGAGAGGACTAGAGTATGTGGGAGATTGTACACAACTGTTAGAGGTCTGCGAAAACCAGTCAACAGTTGTCTCCCTTAATACATGATAAATCTGTTAACACATGGTACCAGCAGCCATAGCATGCCACTGGATGCCACAATCTTCCATGCTGACTTCAAGTTTCAAAGTTCAAGAAGGACATCATACATAAGTCATTTGAAGTGTTCAATTTCTGCATTTCACTGAAAAGATACTTGAAAGAGATTGATACAAAATTTAACGCAATGAAATAAATAAGAAAAAGAGTTGAAAGGTCAAACTAAACTATGCTCCGACCAATATTTTAAATATTCTATAAGCCAAAGGTCAGCATTTAGTAACTTATTTACATCATTTGAGGCTGCCAAACATGCTAAGGCTAATTCAGATTGAGATGAGATTGTGTTTCTATATAGAAATCTTCCGATTTGAAAATACTTATATCTGATTTATCAAAACATGGTATAACATACAACTTGTCATCTTTTCTATGGTTTCTATCGATGAAATGACAATAAAACCATAGCTAATGAGCTCATCCTGCAGACATCATACATCATTACCAAAGTCACATGTCAGCTTCACAGAGAGATGCGTAGCTTACCGTGCTTACAAAACACTTTCATCAAATACAGTTGAACATCCACGACATAGCCAACAATCACTGCTCAGGACCAACAACACTCCATCAAAGACCACTCATACCCTATCTCGCAGATGATTCTAAACACACATATTGCTAAATTAAAAACACAAACTTGGTGTTACTTCATTCTTAAGGTTTGGCTCAAGCTTCTTATGTCCTAAGGGTTAAGGTACCATCAGCTCTTGCAGCAATAGTTCACAGAATCATAGTCCAAAGTTTGGCGCTATCCCTAATGTTTCTTATTTCATGAAAAGACTCATTCAGTGAAAACACAGCACGTGGCACTAAACAAGTCTTTGCCTTGATCACATCCCAGGATACTTTGGTCATAGCTCATGGATATTTTTTCCTAAGGCCAGTGGAAGATATAAACATTGTTAAAGGAAACCAGAGCCTAGTTGAAAACTGGTCCATAAAACATTCACAATCAGACATGGCGAATGATGACGTGTCATTGTCTACTAAACGCCAGACATCATGAACTAGCTCAGGCCTTTTTTCTCAGTTGGTTTACAGATTTAAAATAAATTGGGGCAAAGTCATCTTGCTTCTGTGTTGCAAGATTCTTGAAACACTATTATATTCTAGTAAAAGGTTTTTGTGGCTGTCAGAGATAAAAGTATTTTTTTAAATGATTTTTTTTATAAAATTATTTTCCATTTTATCAGTGATTTGGTGTTAGAAGATCCTTAAACCAACTAAAATAGAGGCCCCATCCATCAAGACTGGGGTATGCCTGAAGTACATCATGTATGTTCCGACATGCTGATGACTGAACACTGAGGCTACTGGTCCATGATACAAATACCGGTATAATAAACTGTCCCTTCAACAAGTTGAGCAGATAAGTGTTTATGTTTGAAATTTGTGCACATTCTTTGCAAATATGAAGTAAAAAAGCAAAATGCAGCAACTGGCTTCAAGCAGCAGCCCATTTAACCCTTCTGCTAGCCACGAGCCAAAGGGCCAGCAGTCATGTTGACCTAACAAAACAATGCTGAAAGAACAGCTGGTTATACTACTGGGAAGGTTTGAGCATATACTTTCTGAATAAAAGCAACACTAAAGAAACTTGACTTTCAAAATGAACAGATTCATTGCCTATATTGTCCCATAGCTTTCAAACGTTCAACGAACATACAACTCGACATGCCCAGAGCATCTCCTTGGAGGTGGCCCTGACAACACTACAGAGAGTAGCCAGGTCAAAGCTTCATGTCAGCACACAATTTTTCAAGCTCATGGTAACAACATGTTTATGTGATATCTCTTCATCAAAAATATTCTCATATGCATATATCATGTATCTTTGACATCTCAAATTAACATAGCACATAAAATAGTTTCCTTACATTCTGAAAACAAAACAGACACTACTGATATATTTGTTCAACAGTACCAACGACAGGAGAACAACCGTCATCCAGTTCGTCAAGGCGTCACCTCTTTCAGGATTCATACACTGGCTTCAACATGTTTTTTCATTACATAACTATCTGCACCAAGGTGCACCACTGCTCAAATTACCGTTTTCACATAAACAACCTAATGTACAAGGGTCTACAAGTGCTCATTTAAATAATGGTGTATAAATACCAATAAATACTTTGTCTGGGGCATGTCATGTACAAGTTCAAGACAAGAAGATCCATTTTTGTTCTTTAAAAGAATTCTCTGCTTTTGATCAGTCATATACAACTCAAAAGATGTTTAGCAGCACCTGATTTTTTCATATGACTAGAATTAATCTGCCATGACAGGCAAGTACATTCATATGAAAATAATCAGATGTTCTTAAACCTCTTTTGAGCAGTATATTTTAATATCAAGCCATTTGACATGTTGTGATAACATTTAAACATATATACTACTCAAAATAAGTTAAGGACCACCCGATTCTTTCATCTTACCATAGTAACATGACAGCCTCTGACTGACTATGGTTTTACGCCGCTTTTAGCAATATCACAGCAGGGGACACCAGAAATGGGCTTCACATTTTGTACCCATGACTGTAATCGAACCCGGGTCTTCGGCGTGACGAGCGAACGCTTTAACCACTAGGCTACCCGACCGCCCTATAACATGACGGATCAACTCCAGTAATATGAAAGAATCGCGTGGTCCTTAACATCCTTTGATTAGTACAGTTTGAGAACTGGGTTCTTTGGAGTTCTACATTAGCTGAAGCTTCCTGAAGGAAGAATCTACAAACACATGGCACTCCTTTGTGAACTACATTCCTTTGATTCAGCGGTTCCAAATAAACACTGTATGCGACATGCTATGTCCCCAAGCTAGTCAATTCAAAAGATAAATATGTAAGAGATGCATTTGCTTTCTCAAAATAAAAGATGAGAATGCCAAACTGATAATAACTTAACACATGGTCATAAATAAACTAGTAACTCTTTGAAATTAAATTAAATAATTATTAAACAAAAGAGAAAATTTCACCAATACTGTGATATGGCCAATTTGTGAAGCCAGCAGCCTCAAGCACTTATCAGCAAAAGTACACTATTATGGCAAAGTAGACCTGTGCCATTATTGGAGCGAGAGGCTTGGCTTGTGTGACATCACTCTTTCAGTGACCTTCAGCTGGCCATGCACACGCATCAGCTCGGTCTGCACCTGCATTACATGCATGCGCGGGAGCATTACAAGGCACTGGATGGACGTACGGACAGACAGACACAAGAACATTTATACAGGGGGTGCTGTGTAGATAGGGAAGATTCACGCTTCATTAACAGGAGCATGTTGAACTGGGTGTGTAGAACAAACTGGCCAACAAAAAACAGGCCATTTTTATCGAAACAAAAAAGGCAGCAGACAGTTCATCAGCCAGGTAGGTGCTTGTCTGACAAACCTGCAAACATCCAAATTCACATTCCTTCAGAAACATAACCATGTCCACATATCCACCAGTGACTAGCGGGAAGAGCCACACCAGGGACTCTTGTTACACTCTTGCAACATTCAGTAGATCCAGAAACATCCTTCAACTTGGGAACAAGTCGGTATACTGGCCAGACAACAGACCATGCGTCCACATCCATCCAGCAGTCGGCGAGACTCATTACCCCGTGGAATACATCCTATTTACCCATGGTAAGATCCAAGCAATCTGTGTAGAATCCACAGGTGAGGTTCACTCTGTAACTCCAGTAGATCTCACAACCACAGCTTGTAAGTCTGTTCCGGGCCAGCCAGCCTGCTGCTATGAGCAGAGGGACAGGGAACACTGATCAAAATGCATTATCAACTTTTTGATATGTGCCAGTTTCTTGTGTAGGTAGTCATAGCGCTTTTTTTGTTCAATGAACTTCGGATCACTTTTCTGGGTCTGGTATTCCTCTAGTATCCTGTTCTTCAAAGTCTGGAAAGGATGAAAATAACAGATCAGCATCACCAAGTGTTAGCAATCAGATGGGATTTCAACTACTGTTTCCTAATTGGCTGATAATAGAGTGGAGGGGTTTGAGTTACATTATTGCGCTGACTGCTGTCACTCATTTCGTATTGTTTACATGTTTTTTATATCAAAAATTAAATACCCAGTCAATGAAGATATTATTGTTGACATACTTATTTATACAATGTTATAAGCATTGACTTCAATATTATTTGTGCATTTATGGAGATATAAACATAAAGACACAAAAACGCAAAAAATATTGATGTCAATTCTTAAGATTGTCAGTCTAGAGTATGTGTTCATTTGCCAAAAAAATTCAAAATAAGAGAAAGAGTTAATTTACAATTAAACTTTTCATTATGATTTTGAAAAGAAAGAGTTAGATAAGAAAACATGTCCATTTGAGGGACAGCTGTGTTAGTGCTCTTATGTGACCCGTGATGGGGTAGAATAGTCTTCAGCAACTCATGCTTGTCGTAAAAGGCGACTAACAGGATCGGGTGGTCAGGCTCGCTGACTTGGCTGATGCATGTCATAGTATCCCAATTGCGAAGATCAATGCTCATGTTTTCAATCACTGGATTGTCTGGTGGAGACTCGATTATTTACAGACCGCCGTCATATAGCTGGAATATTGCTGAGTGCGGCATTAAACAAACAACAAACGACAAACATGTTATCATGTACAGTGATGCAAGGACTTCATGATAGCATGAGGAACAAAACAAACACTGCACTGCAGTGATGTCAAACAATATTTGCTGACAAGTTGAAATCAATCAGTCAGGAGCCACATGGTAAACAATCATCAATCACAACCAGTCATGGGAACATCACTGACTATAGTCATCCTTCTAAGTATTATCAAGATCTATGCTAGGCCCTACCTCAAAGGCCTCCGATCCTTCCTTCGTCTTGCGAATCTTTATCTCTAATTCCCCAAACTTCTTGGCAATGGTATCCAGATGACCGAACAGCTTCCGGTACTCGTCATACTCGGAGTTGAAATCACCCTTATACTTCTGTCTCTGTTCCTGGTTCTTGATCATTGTGTAAGTCCTGTAATGTCGACATTGTATGTGTGAACCATGAGGAGCAATGGCAGTCAACTAGCTGTCAGTCAATCAGCTCTTCAAGTCTGTAGCCAGCACAAAAATATTAACACACCTCAGTAATTAAAATGGACTTCATTAAATTGGCATTATAAAACTTTTCTCAATATCCCCTATTTTCACACTTACTATGGCTATTTCTGGGGTGGGCCATATATATCTCAAGATACATTTTCAGCGGTCCTTCGCGGTTACCTGACAGGACCTTTTACCCAGAAATCTCTCTTTTTTTCAAAAGAAAATAAATATGCAAGCCTGAAGGTTTTTTTAAAATTCTTTCATTACTAACTATCAGTAGGTCTATAATGTCTTGACAAAGGAGATTCCTTGCATGTTTCAAAATATTCCTTAACAGTTATTTCAAAGTTTTGGTGTAATAAAACATAAATTAATGATTTAATAACATTGCAATTAAACATCTTCATTAGAAACAAAAGAATTCTTCTTAAAGCTTAATACTAACCATATTATTAATTAAACCAGTAACAGTCAGAACATAATTTCAAAAGTTATTTTCTCAATAACAATGCATTATAGTTATCCAAATTTTAACATTTGTGAAAGAAAAATCTCATGGAAAACAATTTACACGTCTTCTGAAATGTCCACAAGCCTAAATGCCTGTATCATGACTCTCTCCCGTCATCCCTCCCCCTCCCCATGTCAGCCCACCCCTACAGAATGCAAGGCACCCCCTCACTTACTTTAAGTAATCAGCACAGTTGCTGGAATTGGAGGACACTGTGTTTCCGTTATCTGAAGACAAGACGAGACACCATGAGCAGGGCAATGACAATAATTACACAATGTATTTGTCTCCAGGTCCCATCCAAAGACTGTGTCAACACTGTCTGCTAAATGTGCGCAGCTTGGCAAACAACAGAGAATGACAAAATCAAAGTCAATGACAGGGAAACAGCGCTCATCTGCCCTATCTAGGCACATCCTCCGTGTCAGCTTGACTTGTACAATACATTCACAGGCGACCCTGTGCCAAGAATCAGCTCCAGAGAAGGCCAATCAATCCTGTAGCAGGTCTTTCATGTCTTGAGAAATGTTTTTACCTTCTTACTTTTGTAGTCTCTTTTATCTGTGTAATCCAGGGATAATTGTTTGGATGCTTAAGATCAATTACGTCTTAGAAAGAGATAAACAAAGCCACCAGTAGTACCTATTTGCATTATGAACATGCCATTTGCATTATTCTTCAATCAAAGCAAAATGTGGAATGCGATTTTTAGCCGTTCAACAATACCTGTCTGGACAAAAGAAACACTTTTGATTGTTTTTTACACAGTCCACTTCATGTACAGTGTCAGAGGAAAATAAACATAGTGTATACCAAACATAAGACAAAACATAGGGAGACAATGACACATTTGTCCTCAAGCTGTGCATATTCCGAATTCAACATGTCATACTGCTGCTACCACGACTACAATTACCATAGTTACAGAACATTCTTCACATTCCCCAGAAGCAGTACATCTTAAATACAAACACTTACCTAATTGTTAATGTAGCACTTTCAGTGTAGTTGCAAATTAAACAAATCAGTTAAGAAATATATAAACAATCTGCAGTTAGTATGTTCTCCAGTCCTTTACTACAAATGACCATCTTGAAGCCCCATCATCTATGTGCTACTTGTTCTACAGCCCCCTACAATAGTTCACCCTGCTGAAGCCCTACCATCTATGTGCTACTTGTTCTACAGCCCCCTACAATAGTTCACCCTGCTGAAGCCCTACCATCTATGTGCTACTTGTTCTACAGCCCCCTACAACAGTTCACCCTGCTGAAGCCCTACCATCTATGTGCTACTTGTTCTACAGCCCCCTACAACAGTTCACCCTGCTGAAGGCCTACCATCTATGTGCTGCGCCTTGTTCTCTCTGTTCGCATCAGGGGACAGTGAGGAGGACTTGCGTTTGTCATGCGGTGCATGATGGTGACTGTTGCTGGACTTGAGACCGTTGACGGGAGAGGGTTCTTTCCTCTTCTCATGGTGGGATATTCTCTGCTTCTTGTTTGGCTGGGGGGCTTCAATCACATCCTCACTTGCACGTTTCTGAAATAATATACAAAGACGTCATTCTGCTGTTATTGAAAACAACTACATGCAAATCCATATCAGAATCACTGTGTTGCTACAAGTCCATATCAGAATCACTGTGTCACTACAAGTCCATATTAGAATCACTGTGTCGCTACAAGTCCATATTAGAATCAGTGTTGCAACAAGTCCATATCAGAATCACTGTGTTGCAACAAGTCCATATTAGAATCACTGTGTTGCAACAAGTCCATATCAGAATCACTGTGTTGCAACAAGTCCATATTTTCACAATTGAGTTTGGTTTTTTTGCTTCAGCACAAAAGCAGTAAATAAGAATCAACATTCAAACAGAATGATTTCACCATGGCAAGAAACAATTGAACAAACCTCAAAACATGATTCTGATTTTTTTCATTGATCGATATATTAGGGGTGCTTCACTTAATTTTCAGCTGATTTCACAACTTTTAATCTGCAACCTTGCATAATGGTGTTTGTCATCTAATTTTGAAATTCTGAGCATCTATGAGTCCTCTGAAAATGTAAGCTTCTCATCATCAGCAGCACCGACCTGAGAGTTGCTGGGGCTTTCAGGAGCCTGGTTGCTGGGGGACACTGCAGGGGACGTGGATGCACTTCGAGACTCGGCTTGCAGGTTCTGGAGATTTCTGAGGGAGAAAACCTTTGGTTGTAGGAGAAATCAGTCGATCAATATGACAATCCAATCTACTTAGTTATAATTAGAAATTCTGGGGTCATTAAACTAAACACTTTCATTTGCCCAATGAAGAGGGTATCACTTTACAGACCCAGCAGCATCTTCCTGAGGCAAGGGCGTTAACTGACTATAAAAGTCTCCACCCTTGCCGAACTAGGAATTTCCAGGCTCGTTACTCCAGCCAAAATGTAACTCCATAATTGCAGCCTAGTTTGGGCAAGGGTGAAAACTGGACTTTTATAGTCAGTTAACGCCCTTGCCTCAGGAAGATGACCCAGCAGCTGAGACTGTAGTCAAACAAATACACCACCTATACTTGTACTTAGAATTACCTGTTGGTGTGTCCTGACCAACAGAACCCTCATTCCATGACCAATAATGTCATATTCCTGGTCCTTGTGCACCCAACCCATAGCCTACCTTTTCACAAGTTGGCGGTCTGCCTCTGCGTAGAATGGCCAGTCTGTGCGCACGTCAATCCAGGCGTGGTTTGCAAGGGTGTAGCTATTGCTCTTGTTAAGTACTGCCACCTGCTGCAGGATGCTGCCTAGAGAGTTCTTGTCCTTTTCCCGGATACCATCTGACCGACACAAAAACACACACATTAGTCACACACAACATACAGCTCCAGAGATGACAGATGGAATTGGGGGGAGTATGAACAATAGCTGGTCTGAAACAGCCACACAAATCTGGTCCATGGACTACAAATAGCAAGCAAGCTCCGACGTTCATATATTTTGGCCCTCCCTCAACGAAGGTTCATACTCCAATGAACTCACACAATGTGAAAGTCAATTCTTAAATACATTCTACAAATATCCATACTTTGTAACAGCACCATGTCGAAACTACCAATCCTCATTACAGTACTACCACAACTATCATGAGGGTGAATTCCTCAATTTCAAGATTCATGACAACAATGACGTTCTCCTTCACAATGTTGAATACACTGACATGCCTCGCAGATTTTATTACCATATGCATCTAATTCTAAAACCAGCAATCCTACGGAGATGACTTACTCACTCCACTGCTGTTACTAGCACCTCAAGGCTGAAACCCTTTCTTCAAGGTCGATGCCACGTGAATGGCAGACAAGTAATTCCATGTCGATTTTTCTTGAACAATGCCTGGTGTTCTTAATAGTATTTTGAACACAAATAATTTACACAATCACATCAAAGCATGGACAATAGCTGGGCTTCATCAGTATTCTTTTCAAACACAGTATACAGACACCAAATACTATGGTCAGAGCATAAATACTATGGCAACGGTATAACACTATGATCAGAGCAAAAATACTATGATCAGGGTATATATTCTATGGCTAGGGACTAACGAGGTGACACCTTGCCGACCAGGCAGGGTAACAACAAGTACCATCTTATAATGTCTTTGTATTGAGCCATCAAACTTCCTCCTTCCAGGCCAATCGAGTAGAGATGGTCTATTTCCATTGCACAGATGGGACAATTAATGTAAACTACAAGCAGTTGTCCTATGATGTCTGCAAGGTAGCTGCATCACTACAGTGCAACCTGTTTTTCCTCAGAGACTCTTTCTAGCACTACAACAATGAACCAATGCCAATGAAGTGCCATCGTTCATCTATTATCTCTTGGTTTTCTTTATTGACGCACATGAAACAATTAGCTTTTTGTAATCTCTGCCGAATCTAACACATTCTACATAGCAATGATCAATACAAACAGCAGTAACGCTCTAACACAAACTGGAAACTGATTTGTTCTCTGTCCAAACAGACCATGCCATCAGTCAGCCAACGTGAAACTCACACATCAGTCCTCAACACACCCAGGAGGAAGTCTGTCTCAGGGTCTGACACACAACATCAGAGACTTGGGGAACAGCATGGCCGACATGCTCTTCCATGTATCATGAATTAACTTGAGCAGGATGAATATGGTTATCTGAGCGCGACAACATAAAGTTGTCTCCAGCAAAATCTTATAAAGGATTAGAGGCCAGGTGAGATGAAATGGGGTTTAATGTCACATCCAAAACCATTGCACTTATGCAGCAATGTGCATGCATGTGTGTATGTGTGTGTAGCTGCTGATTTTATAGTCCTTGTCCACTGAGAATCCATGTCATAGTTTAACATGAATACCCCACTCAGACACAGTATATTGACTCTGAGCTGACCAGTCCTTGTTTAAGCCCCTTAATGCCGAGCGCCAGACAGGGTAACAACAAGTACCATCTTTTAACGACTTAAGGTATGACGCGGCCGGGGACCGAACCCCGGGCCTTCCGCTCTCCGGACGGATGCTCTACCTTTAGACCATTGAGGCAGGCTATAAAGGAGAAGAATGAAGAGGATTATCTTTACAGTGGAGAGAGGGTGTGAGTGATTGTGGTCGGGTGTCATTACAAAGGCTAGTAGAGATTCTTCCCCAGCAGGATATTCAATACACACCCTTCTTTAGTCTCAGTAACATCTCGGGCTTCTTGAAAGGCCGCACCGCTAACAAATGAATGATTCTTTCTCTGAAACACAACATGACAGAATATAAGGAGTCTATTAAACATGGATCAAAAATAACATGTAAAGTGGTAATTGTCCATAAACATTTTGTTCCATTAATCACATAAGCACACATTCACATTGTCCATAAACACAAACAGTTTTTGAATGGAAAAACTACTCCTTGTGCAATATATCATTCACCTGCTTAAAAGCTAGTGTTCTGCATTTGACATCATTTGTGTTTCCTGCACATTTTAAGAATTAATTATAGCCATTAACACAAACATCAACTGCATAGGTAGACACCATTAGTCACATCCATGTAGTCCACAGCTCACGTCAGACCATAGGTCATGCAAAATAACTAGATTTGGGGATAAAATAACTAGTCCTCCAGATTGTTACTGTGAACGGACGAGGGGTCATGTCTGTCCATGAACAGGGTCTCAGACAGTAACTGTTGTTGCAGGATTTTACAAATTCAGATCCGGTTGAGAAGAAAAGGTGCTTTCGTTAAGGATGTCTGCAATCATTGCCTTATGATCACTGCTCATATTGAACTGTTGAGTGCTGGGGTGGTTTAGCAACACATTTTCGGTCAATCTATCACCTCTATGAAGCTGTACAACTGAGAATCACAGACAAAGTCCATTCATCAAAGATGCAGTGTTACGTAGAAAACTAAAGTGAATTCATTCCTATTATATGACAGGTCGCACATTCAGAGAAAAACCTATAAGCTTCAAGAATTACGGATTAGCTGTCCCGAGTGAATTAAATGTGTAAGTCCTGGTCTTGGCTGAGAGTCAGCAGTCAATCTATTGTTGGAATGATCACATAAAACCAACTGTGATGTCATAAACAATGGAAGGGCTGCATCACAAACACAGGAAACAATAGCATGAAGTGGCCATCAGCATGAAGCAAAACTTTCAAAGCTCAGTGAGAATTACTGAAAACAACTGCACCAACATCCATGCCCTATGGGTAATATTATGCATTGCATATGGCCACAGTGAATGTGTGTTGCAATGTTCTTTTAACAATGACGTCAATGCACTGTAAAAATCCTGCACTATATGGAGTCAATGGAGTGTCGCTGAATGTCAAATATACTTAAATCTGCTCTTACATAACCACCAGAACACAGAAGTAATGATGATTTCTTCTATATGAACCTTTTATTTATGCCAAGTTGACATTTCAAAACAATAATTAAATATTGTACTTTAATGCAAAACTGTTGGTGTGTTATTTCCGAATATGCATCCATGGTATGGTGAGTGAGTGAGCATGGTTTTACGCCGCTTTTAGCAACATTCCAGCAATATCACGGTGGGGAACACCAGAAATGGGCTTCACACATTGTACCCATGTCGGGAATCGAACTCGGGTGTTCGGCGTGACGAGCGGAAGCTTTAACCACTAGGCTACCCGACCACCGGCCACCGGCCACCCATGCCCCCCTACAGTCCGATTAAGTCATTTGATTTATAAACACAATTTTCAGAAAAAATTACTCCCTTACTACAGATCAGCAGACATCCTTAAGTCTTATTTGAATTCACAAAACATTAGGAACCAATTTCCTGAAATAGAAATAAACAACGTAATCAAAGACATAAGTATACAAGAAGCATCCACTTTTGAGCTGTGCAGGGGGTGCACTGACCTATATGGCATGTTCATGATTGCAGAGTTAGGTTTGGATCCCCCTCCGCTAGACGGCGGCACATGAGATGATGGTTTGGTAGACATTGAAGACACTGTGGTCGTCCCACTACCCCTCACAGGAGAATGGTTGGACCCAGTACTTCTGTGAGGTGAATGCTGACTGGCTGTGACCCTGTTGGGGGAGTGGTTTGTTCCACCATTAGGGAGATGAGAAGTCCCCGAGAGTCTTGACTGACCAGGATTTGACACATTGGAGAAGTTGGTTGAGCTTTTGGGGATGTGAGGTGGGGGTTGGGGTTTGCTGATTGCAATATTGTTTTTATTGGTGGGCGGTAAGTGCTTGTTATGACCGTTCGTTATCACTTTCTTCACTTTCTTGCTGATGTATCGGCCGCTTGGTTTGATTTCTTTTGTACTGAAATAAAAACATACACATCAACACTTCACTCCCTCTTTCAGCACCAAAGCAAACATATTCTACACTGAAACAGAAACACATAAACATTTAAACTCTTGAATCAAAATAATTCAGAATGGCAAAATGTTATCCGTCTAGTGTGAAACTATATTACCTTACAATATCATTACTTCTCTTCTAAGGTCACTTAACGGACTATCTTTTGTACTTGTAACATGGTATATAACTAAGTCTCAGAAAATCTGTAGTTATGCTAGTTGTCATGACAATCCCCAGCGTTATGTTTCAAAAGCAATTGCAGTGATGATGCCCCGACTCCCAACAGCTGGTATCCTCCACAGTCGACAAAGCAATACATCTCCCGAAGATGACATTTTAATATGAAGCCAATCCAATCACAGGAATGCATTGATTTGTTTGAGGAATTAAACTTGCATGGTAACAGCAATCATCCACTGCATGATTCTCTGTTGATGACATAAGCAAGGGCAGATCTTGCTAATGCTAAGGATATGGAGGTTTCATGTTTTTTAAACAAAAAAACCTGTTCAATTTTGAAAAATCAATCAAGTAAGTTTACCTACGTTCCCTGAAGTAACTTGTTGCTACAAAGGCTACTACTATCAAAGAAAATATATATTTTGTCAGCCATGAAGGATATACCTTCAATACTACACAGCTCAAAAACAGCAAGCTGATAATATTTGTGACGACAGCAAAACTAAGTGTATCTCACTGACTACGTAATACATGTCCGCTGTCAGTGTAATGTATCCTTGCTACAGCCTAATTTCAATCAATGCCTTTTTCAGCTGACAGCGACCATTTCAGCAGCATATGACTAACATGAAGACACCACTCAAGACACGCCAGGAATAGAAGCCAGGATGGAGCGTTGTTTTAGTTCTTCAGCTCATTTTCAGCTCCTGATCAATCAAGCATCTAAATTTAGTGTTCCAGTGTTTGTAGGAAGGGTAGCTAAACCTGATCACTTTGTGTGTGAAACAATTACAATAATCACACAAGTATCATAAACCTCACTGAACCATAAACCAAAGGAGTGGTACATTCACATCAGTTCTGACTGTGATGTCAAAGGTGCTACGCTGCTTCGATGGATTTGTCAATTCACAAAAATGAATTCACCAAAAATAGCCTCGTAAGAAAAACAGTTCCAACTGAAAGGATTTCAAAATTAATGCTGCTCAAATGCCATTTATTTACATGTATTTACTTACATCATTTTAAAAAGAAAATCAGTTTCAAACCATGTCAACAATAAATAAAAAACATCCCCAAAATTAACACCCTGCAAGAATACTACTCAAGTAGCTATTAATGGTATCATTCATGATTTATCATTTTCAGATTTGAGATCCCTATGCAAGCGGCAAGCTGCAAGCTGCAGGCTGTGATAGTTGACACTTCCAACTGTGCACCAACTACCAACAAGACCACAAATCACAATTAATTACCAGTACTATGTCAGTCACCAAACTGTGACAACTAGCTTGTGACACCTGTTGAAAGTATCTAGAAACAGATCACCCATTCAAGATTCATACAACATATGCATTGTACAAATTTATTGATAAGGCACTGGACAACAAAAGCCCTAGGGGTCCAACCTTGTAGAAGTGTTTCACACAAAACACTTCCAGTCAGAAAATCAATAGCTATATTTAGCGCCCTCACAAGATTTCCACTTTTATTACATCAAGAGGAAGGCTTTTCTTGGCCACAAACAATGTGACTTGACTGTACAACAATGAAATGAGGGGGTGGGTAATCTGGAGTCTCAAAGACGGGGCTGTGACTTGGACCTCGTATCATTAGGGAGAGGTAGAAGCATGCAACGCAACCTGATATTGTTAAAGTATCTATGCATCAATACTTTGCCTTTCCTCATACTTGTGATTACTTTGAAGCTATTTTGCTTCATTTTTTCTTTTTATATCTAACATCCAATTATTGCTATTTTCATGCATCTGAGACAGTGGCCGCCAGCGAACAAGATACCAAAATAAACATGGAATATATAGATGTGTAAGTAAGGCAGCCAAGCTGGCTGTACCAGAGTTGACATTTGATTCATATATAGAAACTGTTAATGACCATCTCCTCAGAGCTTTTCTCTAAAGACAACATTTGTAAGTGATCTAACTGAAGTTTTCAAAGACAAATGTGCACGTTAAGTTGGAAGTATTACTTATAAACTGCCATATTTAAAAATCAAACAGATCTTTTAGATCTTTATTTCTCTACCAGCTTTTATCTCGACCTTAAGCCAAGTTAAAAAAAAGTGAAAACTGCACGCATCACCATTGCCTCAGATGAAACCAGTATTCAAACATTAACACGCATGTAGCATTGACACTGCTACGCTTTTATCTGAAACTGTTCTTAATGGATCATTTGCATGACGTTTAATTTGTTTCCTACTGTGGTAATGTTCTGGTTCAAAGTCATCTGTACAGTTACAAAATTATCGGAAGTAGAACAATCAGATTTGAAACCAGGTGACAATATAGCCTTGGGAACATAGCCACAAAAGCTGAATACAATGTCAAACTGTAAATATACGTCAACATCTGACACATACTTCCTCATTGTAACACCATCCACTAAGCATTACAAGCACCTCATGCAGAAATACCCCCAGTTACCTGATCAGAAGATAAATGCCATCATCACTCACTATTTTAACTGATTGTAACCTACACTATTCTTAAGTCTTAATCCTCATGAAACGTTTGAATTTACTATCATTACTTTATCAACTTGGTAGTTAAAATTAATAAATAATGTTCAAATAATGATTATTCTGAATAACAAATTACTTTTAGTATTAGATGCCAATAGCACAAAAACATCTATTTGTTAATTTATCACTTGTCCTTATGTGTCAAACACTTGATGTGCCAATCTCGGGCTACTTACTTGGAGATCGCAATACATATAACATGTACACTCCACCACTCGAAAAGATGATTTTATTGATATACTTCATTGATTTCACTTAGTACATATCAGTAAATCCTAAGATATTTTTTTCACATAACTTTTCATTCTGCATTAAGTTTTACACAATTTAACCAAAGCAACAAGATACTTGAAAACAATGCCTTTTCATTCAAGCTTGTGTTTTCATTTTACAAACATTTGCATCATATATATCATGTTATAGATTGATTTTTATTGCCCCAAGTCCACTTCCAATCATATAGTCTATATTTATTTTATTTGATCTACCTTTAAAACTGATAATGCAGTATTTCAATTTATGTAAAATATGTAAACAAAAGTCAGCAATCATTACAATGTAATCTTGATAACTTGTACATTTGTAATGATCCCTTCGTCATCATAATCATGATAATCCATATCTCCTGACTCTTTGTCACAGTAGTTTTCCATTATCCAATACTCACTCTTCAACAACCTGATTTACATAAATATCCTCCACCATAACATAACATATCCTACAGCTAGCCACCACGTGGTTGTCAACAAGGGATACATGCATACATAGCAGCGGTGTCCAAAACCCCTCTATTTTGAGAGTACTCCAGTGTTCCCACAGTCCGGGGGTTCACCCAGTAAACACAGCTACATATACCTGCTGGCTTGCACAAGTATTCAGGAGCTACATACCAGACTTTTTTGCTTTCTTCCTCAGCAAGTGTCATACGTTCTCGTGTGGACTTGTACACATCGTCAGTTGCGAGGACATTGATTTTCTGTTGCATGACGCCCAAACTTTCAAGTGTGTGACCATATCTACAAGGGAAATAATAAACCAAAATCTAGATAAAAATGTCACTAGCCAACAGTAAGACAAAGAAGATCTAATGCATGATGTATCTTATGATGCTAAAGAAGGCAGACTTCCCTTCTCCATCACTAGATAACAGTGATCTAGATAAAAATGACATATATTTCAAAACATACATTGAAAACAAGATATAAAATCAAAAAATGGTTGGCATATCTATGTCATATTGATCATGTTCATAAATTTATTACAATCAACGATGATTACTTTTAGAATCACAGAACTCCCATAATTTTCTTCTCAAAGAGTATGGGTGCTAAATTTGGTAAAAGATCCACCCTGCAGACTTTCTAACAATAAGGATTTTAAAAATCAAATTCGAAACAAACTTAACCATAATAAAATGGTCAAAATAAGTATTCAATTCAAATTCTGTCAAGCAATTCTTATGTTCTGTACACAAGCATGGTTGATTTCCTGCCACTCAAGAGATGTGCAGCAGTTTCTGTGTGAAGGGGAATTGAAATGTAACTTTCTTGTGGACCACACCTGGCCTGAAAGATACATCTAGCTACTGTCCTGTGCACAGAACATCTTTGATTGATCAATCTTTAAATAAAGTCACTTAGTCCACATCAACAACCCTTTCAACTTTCAGTTTATATATGATCACAGTGACTTAGCTATGAGTATATTACTGGGGACTGTTGGTTTTGATTCTATTACTAGTTAAGAGATAAGATACAACCTACTCCATACTTCCTGCCATCATGCACACTATTGCATGAGTAACTGTACATAACTGTGGTGCCATTAGTCACCAGTGCACCAAGGGTGTGTTGTGATCAGTCAGAGATCGAGATAAGCTGCATATTTGCATAAAATACGCATTAAATAAACTGACATAACCACATGAAATAAAAGTAATGCGTATATTACAACTATTAGATAAAACGATTGTGTATATGACAACTGTTAGATACAATGATTGTGTATCAGACACTCGCAAAATTCACTTAACGACAGTTACATTTGGAAAAGCTTCCGCGACATTCATATTGATAGATGCCAATTGAAAGTCAATGTACATGTTGTATCTTAAATAGTCGCAAATTGGTAATTAAAACAATAATGTCTTTCTTGCAATGCTAAGTTTTGTAAACAAATAATGGCTTTCCGGAAAGGGAGCTGCAATCAGCTGCACACAGATGGGTATACTGCTATTCACATAGTTTTGAATTATTTATAGGGATTGTTACGAAACAGGTTTTAAGTTAAATACCAAATGTACAAAACAAAACAGGAGGGTAAAAATATTTGAAAACCCTCAAAATGAAGCTCCTGGGTTAAATACCAAAAGCTTATCTATAGCTCTCTGATCAGTGATAGAAGAAGGCAACAGCCGCTGTACCTGGAGTCTGGCTGTTGGATGCACTCAAAGCTACCATTGGGGTCGCCTTGAAGTTGTGCCAGGTTAAATCGGAATGTGCGCGAGGCCCTAGGGTCATCACCTGAGCCTCGGAGTGGGACTTGGAAGTGCTGAAAACACCAACAAAATCTCATGAGAAACATACATTCTAAAACAGTCCTCTGTCAACTCAGGATGGAACTCTGCCATAAACATGTCTGAAATCCTAACCTGCAGCCTAATGTTTAACCTGTATATTCTCCAACTTCAGCATGATCAAATGATCACCATATCTGAACATTCAAGAAACACTATCTTAACATTATGTCAAGGTGAGCCTGGTCAGTTGGTGACCAAATTTCCAATTTCATTAAAATTAGATTTTAGTTCTCGCTACCACTTAACAAGATCTGAGGATACCCCATTACGGTTCACGTCAGACCGATCTAACGCTAACTTTGACCGACCAATGGAATGACTGACAAGGAGTCGACATAAGCCAATCAGAAGGCAGCTTTCTCGTGCTTTATGGAACTAAATTCAAATTGGCGACTACACTCCAAAACATATTTTGACAAATTCTCGATTAAAAAATTGAAACCTGAACAAAAGAACATTCTGGAATGGCTAAAAGGTGGTCTAGATAGTATGGATTCAGTTGTTAAGCCTGTGACTATCATTCGGAATACCCCACGTTAAAGTTTTCGAGGTTGCATGATTAGAAATCGCATTCCGAATGTCACTTTCATGATCTGGTAAGCGACGCTGTGATTGGTCGTTCTGATGTGACCCCTGATGGGATGTCCTCAGATCTTTGTTTGGCGGTATCGAAAACTAAGATCTGATTTTAATAATATTGCCAAATTTCTAACCAGAAAGGGTCAGTCACTTTTCAAACCAGCAAACAAAGAGGGTGCCTCACAAGCTCAACATTACACTACAAAAAGCAATATACTTCAATAATTTCTGTGTTGAATCTCAGTATCAAAAACAGCAATACAGCTTACACAACACAGAGAAAGAAACTACAGCTAACCAACACACTTCAACAGGAGTTTAGGACTTTCTAATATTTAGTTTTCTAATTTTTTAACATGTCAAAAACAAATCGAAGTTGTGAACAAACAAGGCCCAATAACAAAGCTGTTTATACACACCGAAAGTGTATTTTGTTCTTATTGTCTGGGAGTTTTCTCTACCTTATAAACAAATCAGGAGTGTTATGTGTTGTCCAAGGACATCCAGAGGCTAGCCATGGACTTGACCCCTCCCCTCTCCCTATGATTATTAAGTCGACTGTCAACATCCATCAAGCCTCACTCATAGCCTCCAGCAGAGACACATCACTATCACACACGTCAATATCAGTCATGCCTGTATGGCCAAATGACAGATGCCATGCCAATCAGGATTGTACATTCGTCACTCATAGTACACCGTGTAAGTCAAATTGATCTTACTAATCTTGGCATCAGGATTTTGTCAACCTATCTTGGCATAAGGATGCTGTTGACCAATGGCAAAGATTACAGCATGTACAGATTATGTTTGATCCACTACAGATAAGTACCCACTTGGTAATTAGTGAGAAACTAAAATGCCATGATTTCCACTTTCCCAACAGACAAGATGTATCTGGTGTCTATTTCTAACAATTTAACTAACTCACTTATTAACAATTTGACACAATATATCCCCTTACGAAATAAATATATCAAATGAGGCATACAATGTCAACATGCACACCCTAAGTTTAACTGTTTCATATTCCTTAAATTAGTGAACTGAATTTCGCCATGTTTAACACTGATCCAAAACAATGGCTTCATTCAGTATCAAGTGCATTCACAACTAGAATACATCGATAATTCCAAAACAGCTTATTTTCCTGTATGCTCTGCTTCCTGAGGAATCTTACCTGTGTACAAAATACATATCATATTCACAATAATAAGCACCTGAGGCATACAGAAAATTTACCAATAGATACGACATCAAAGATTGAGTGGGCAAGAAGAAACATAGATCAAATGTTGATGAAACAAACTTTTGCAATAATAGGTTACATGACAAGTAGATTGAAAATTGTAATACTATTTCCTGCTATGGTAAGAAAATGCTCTAATCAGAGAGCAATGTCCCACATTATTACTTCTGTGATTGTTTAAGTGTAGTATGTTTAATAACAGCAACTAAGCACCTTGCATGTAAGCAGTACATATTGCCCAAATACAAAAACATCCTGTCCAATGCATTTTTTCAACAATGACACTACACTGTGCAGAGTTGCTTCCCTTGGGGACGTCACAACCCTTTATTGTGGCTTGCCCCGATTATGTTTCTAGGTTTGTTAGCACCATACCCATGCTTGTGGGTTTCATCAAAGTGGTAAACTTCCGAAACCTGCATCACTTTGGGATAGCCTCACACATTAACCGACGAGCTATGATTTAACTGGAATACTGTTCAAAGCAGCGTTACACCCAGCTCGCTCACTCACTCTTTCAATAACATTGCAACACTTATCGGGGAACCATATTGATAAACTCTTAATAAGTTCTTCCCCTCTCATTTCTATTGTGAATAGCATGTAGACAAGGTTAGCAGTTGGTGGCATATGCACTGATAAACATCACACCGCTTTCAGGAGAGTCCCATGTAATGTCACATGGTCCTGATGGTTGGGACTACATGTCCCAAGTTTGGAAGTGACACATTGACAGTGAGACAAATCTGTTGATGCCATTTGCAATGAGTTCAATGTATTGATGTTCTAAGATGATCAACAGTCTCGCGGCTTGATTGTGCTAGCTGCACACCCCAGCTGTCAGCCCAGATATTGGTAATCAGAAAGGTCATGAACTATCAACTGTGAACATTAATGAACATTATTTCCTATTCACACTATCAAATAAACACTTGGATTCTATTTTAATTTTTCATACCACAATGCTGCTATCATTCTTTAAATAGTCAAACAATATTACTGAGAACATATTTAACTGGTTTCAAATTTAATATAGGATTACTGACAGTTTTCTGAATTTTGGCATACCAGTACTGGCAAGCGTCCGGTTATCGCCAACACCCTATTATAGCAAACATGTGATTGTGACTCTTTTTACTTTTGCTTGTTTTCATCAAAAGAAAGATATATTTACACAAAATGATGTGCAAATTGACACTTGTCATGAAATATTAAAAATACTCCACATAAGCACAGAAATCCAGCACCAAGATCAGCGTTAGAAACTAACAGTTTTAGACCACTAGTCCTTATAATGATAACATATAGCAAAACCCTTAAAAATGGCAAATGTCTACTAGTCCTTATGATACCTTAACTATTGGGCAATTTGGCAAGGACTACAGGACTAGTGCCAATTTCTAACGCTGAAGATGCACATTTAGTTTAATCTTTTCTAACAATATGTCGTTTATTCCCCAAAATACAAATTTACTACCAAATGCAGCACATGCATAATCTGTACGAATGCTGAAATGCAAAGTAAATAGAGTTACTTCATACATGTCATAAGCATGTGTAGTTCGTTTGGGGTAACATTGGTTTGCGATTACTTTTTACACAAATTATTTCTTAATATTTTCATTATAATGAATAAAGTATGTGAATGTGTATACCAGGGATACCAGAGATAATAAAAAATGTAAGTTGTACAAATGAAGAGGTGCACATAATCACTTGGCGGGAGGTTTAGACGGTGGCAATAGCTGGTACACTACGCTGACCAGAGGGTCCTTAAAGTCGGCTTATTTCAATTTGCTTCTCTTCGCTGTGTAACAGCAATCGACTCAAAATTTTCCACAAACAGAAAGAAGTGCATTTGCTCATAGTTTCACAAATATTCCAAACATTTCCAAAAAAACATTGGTGAGGCGGCGACAAATGGTCGGTGACCAGACTACAGATTTGACATACCAGTATGTCACACAGTCAACGTTGATTTAACTTTAACAACAGTATCAAATGAAACTGTCAACAATCGCCTGCAACACCAGCATTCTTCTTAAGTCATGATGACACTGACGCCGCAGCAAAAGCTGTTTACTTTTATTTTGCCTTCAGTAAACATTTCTTATTTGAAATCTTATTGTCATATTTCAACTGTTTGCAGTAAAGAGAAAGCAGACATGAATATTTCATTGGAGCTCAGACGATCTTGATCAAGTATTATCCAAAGTGAGCAGTTAATCTGACTTGTCTTTATAACCATGATAACAGGAAGGAGCAACACAGGCTATGTCACCAGAGGAAGGGAGAGGTTATCATGGCTCAAAGCTTTTATCATGTTATCAACCAAGTCTTCTAGTGTCCACACAAACACTTTTTATACACAACATACTTGAAGCAAGGCTATTACCTCTCAACAAATGTTGGATTCCCAACTTCCCAAGAGCTAATTATTTAGCAAAAAATAAAACCAACAGTCAGCAGTTTGATAGCTGCATCTCAAGTTCCATGTCAGTTATAAAGTCTGGCCCAGGTAATCCAAGGCCCAAGGCACTGTCTTGGAACAACGACATGCTGCCAAGTGACACAGTCATCCAATCCACAGTCAGCTGTCAGGACAAGTTCCTATGAATCACCAGAACGTCAGGCTTGTTGCAAGAGCCGAATAAATGTGTATCAAGTTGTGAGTGAGTGAGTGAGTGAGTGAGTGAGTGAGTGAGTGAGTGAGTGAGTGAGTGAGTGAGTGAGTGAGTGAGGTTTTACACCGCTTTTAGCAATATTCAAGCAATATAATGGTGGGGGACACCAGTAAATGGGCTTCATACGTTGTACCCATGTGTGGAATCGAACCCGGGCCTTGGACATGACACTTTAACGACTAGGCTTTCCCTATGCCCCCAGGATCTGTGACCATGTGGACTTTGTGTCACTGTATCCCTACGGCATGACCGTTATTCATCCTTGCCTGGTCCAGAATCAACCGTTTACACGCCGCTATGATATAGCTGGAATATTGTTTAATGTGGCAGTGTAAACAACATTCATTCTCTCACCTTATGACACGAAAAGGGCACCTGGGATCACTTGTCACTAGCATAGTCACACAGGGACAGTGATACTCAACAAGCAGTTGCTTACCCATCCAAGTTTTATCCACACCCAGCAGTCATTGTGTCACAACCGGTACTTTACGCATGATACGATGGGAAAATGAGTTTCAATATGGCTGCCACGTAAAAGTTACTGATGCACATACGATAGACAACCTGACGCATCAGTAGCTCACAAGAATTTCAGATAGACCTTACAAAATAAGTTTAAGACCACTTGCAATAACTACAAAGTTCATAATTTATTATTCCCACCAGCACGTAAACAGCACTACTCATGCATGGATGATGGAGGTGACCTTGACATAAGCAATAACACTGTTCCCTATAGAGTCCACACACGTCCAATGAAGATTACTTACCCCTTGGTTCCCATCAAGCTGTATTGTAGGCCTTCTGTTGGTGCCATGCTGAAAAAACACACACAAATTTTACTTAATGAAACAAGATCTTTACAATGAAAAGGAACAAAATGTAAATGAATTGTTCATAGTTATGAACTGACATTACATTTCACAAATACCTATCAAATCATTTTGAAATATTTCTTTCTTTCTACATCCCTTTGGTTACAAAGGAATTAGAAGATGACATATATTGAGCTCTACATGAAAAATGCAATTCTGAAAAAAAGATTATTTCCTGGAATGAGATGGCAACTGGTATGGGCTTCATTTATCAAAGTGACAATTGCTAAAGGTGAAAAAGGTCAAGGGCAAAAGGTCAGGATGCAATGACCCCCGAGATCAATTTATTATGACCATGTTCCATGACAATGTCCAAAACGTCAGAAATCGATAACAATGAGAACGTTTAGCCTGTCAGGTTGATCTGTCAAACTAACTGCAACATAACTCATTGACTCTTGCAAATCCCTTTTTCTATTAAAAGAACTGAACTTCAGTTTATCAAGTGATTTACTATGTCCACTGCTATGAAAGATTTATATATATCAGCCAAACTGGCTTCCACAAGAGATATGGCATGGGTGAGGTTAGATAAAGTGGTATCTCGTAGGAGATACTGGTACAGTGAAATTGCATCACAATGCTTTGCAGAACACTGTGGTGTGATCACTTACCATGACATAACAATCAAATGTCATCACTAGAGGCATACTCACTATACTGATACATGCTAGAATCCCATATACACAACCTATTCATGATGAAGGCCAAATTCATACACAACCATTTTCAGGATATTTCAAATCTGTTCATGTGGCATAATCATATTGTGAATATTAACTACCATTGTATACATGCATATTTTGTAATGTCATAACTTTTATGCTATGTCAGTATATTTTAGTTACAATTTGTGCACACAATCTCGAGCTAACAAGGTTAACATTTTATGCAAAATGTTGAGTGCTTTAGTGGTCATAACAACATGTTGCAGTACTATCACAATATATATCTAAGTATCACAACTTTTTGTAATACAAAATTCCAAGTAATACACAGCCCTATACATGAAGCTCTTACATCAAGAGAGTTATAAACCAGATAAGACCAGATTGAGGTCCTCTATAAGCCATCAAGAGAGTTATAAACCAGACAAGACCAGATTGAGGTCCTCTATAAGTAAACACTGACCATGACGTCGACAATACACAACATACATTCTTCCTACATACAGTATGATAGATAGATAGTTCTGTTATCAACTTGCTGTAAATCGGTTAACTAGGGGCAAATATGGACACCTACTTATCCTACTTACACCTACTGAAGGAGCACCTTTAAAGTAACTACATTTTCAAAAGACCTTAGTGTTACCGGTACTACTGTTAATGTATGGATTATTTCCTTCCTTAAAGATATGTAACTAGACTCTTAAATATGGCTCAAGCAAAAGACTGATACCAATAAACCACAGTAACACACACACACAACTTACAGTGTTTAACATTCTAAAAATAGATAGGCACAAGGCTATCAAACTAAAAATACTACTTTCACCATATCTTGTAAACAGACCTTGAAAATGTACAATACAGTGTTTTTTATTTCAATAATACACTCAACATATTAATGCATCTACCACAATGCATCCCATTCTGAATGTAAACACTCAGAAATATTAATACTGTTTATTAAGTTTATGACTGAACATCACAGAGTCGTCAGCATTATTTACAAAGTCAGCCACCACAGAGTATGTAAATTTATGCAGCCGTCTATCTGTACGGCCTGGGTATCACCAACAATCCACTATCTCGTTCATGTGAAGGGTTAACCGCCACTGTGTGACGTGACCTGGGTCAGGGCCTCACCGACCTGGCTCTCTCACCCATGCGACAGGTAATCTGGTGCAACAGAAAAGTTGCACAACACAGGCAGTCAGCTAAGCACTGTTTACAACAGCCCTATCTACTAAATGTGTTTACCACATAGGTACTGACATTTCTATTAAATCCTGCCTGGGGTCCACTTAAAATTGAACTCATACGCTTGGCTAAAGCTGCTAATGATAGATTCACATAGACCTTCAACATGTTCAAACACTTAAATAACAAACAAATAAAGTTGGCAAGCATGGCAAGTCAGAGGCAGCTTGCAAACAATATCACAATGTAGGAAACTATTATTTTCTTTAATGAATGGTTGACCTAATATATTCTCTCCACCAATAGTTCTGCTGTTCCACATTGCAAATAGCAGTAAAATTTGCAATAATTACTGATTCATGCTGAAAACAACCAACACTGAAAATAGAAAGAAATATCTGTCTAGTTCACTTGTCGTGAACAATATCTACAGATGTATACAGTTACTGGACACCGCCGGCTTCCTTCAGATCTGTACAGTAACTGAACAGTGGGAGCTTCCAAACGTGCAGTTAACACACACAAAAAACAGGAGCTGACAACAACAGCCATCCACTTTTCAACAGGTCATACATACACCTGGTTGACACAGTTAAATAACACACTGCTCACAGATAGGCACTGCAAGGAGCCACAATTGTTGACCAAATATGGATAAAACCGACAGCATGGACAACACATGACAGGCTAGGAGAGACAGGCCTGTGTGGGTAATGTAAGGAGAGAGACAGGCCTGTAGGGGTAATGTAAGGAGAGACAGGCCTGTGTGGGTAATGTAAGGAGAGACAGGCCTGTGTGGGTAATGTAAGGAGAGACAGGCCTGTGTGGGTAATGTAAGGAGAGACAGGCCTGTAGGGGTAATGTAAGGAGAGAGACAGGCCTGTAGGGGTAATGTAAGGAGAGAGACAGGCCTGTGTGGGTAATGTAAGGAGAGACAGGCCTGTAGGGGTAATGTAAGGAGAGACAGGCCTGTGTCGGTAATGTAAGGAGAGACAGGCCTGTGTGGGTAATGTAAGGAGAGACAGGCCTGTGTGGGTAATGTAAGGAGAGACAGGCCTGTGTGGGTAATGTAAGGAGAGACAGGCCTGTAGGGGTAATGTAAGGAGAGACAGGCCTGTGTGGGTAATGTAAGGAGAGACAGGCCTGTGTGGGTAATGTAAGGAGAGACAGGCCTGTAGGGGTAATGTAAGGAGAGACAGGCCTGTGTGGGTAATGTAAGGAGAGACAGGCCTGTAGGGGTAATGTAAGGAGAGACAGGCCTGTGTCGGTAATGTAAGGAGAGACAGGCCTGTGTGGGTAATGTAAGGAGAGACAGGCCTGTGTCGGTAATATAAGGAGAGAGACAGGCCTGTGTCGGTAATGTAAGGAGAGAGACAGGCCTGTGTGGGTAATGTAAGGAGAGACAGGCCTGTGTCGGTAATGTAAGGAGAGACAGGCCTGTGTGGGTAATATAAGGAGAGACAGGCCTGTGTGGGTAATGTAAGGAGAGACAGGCCTGTGTTGGTAATATAAGGAGAGACAGGCCTGAAGGGGTAATGTAAGGAGAGGCAGGCCTGTGTTGGTAATGTAAGGAGAGACAGGCCAGTGTCGATAATGTAAGAAGAGAGACAAGCCTGAGGTGAGGTGAGGTGAGGTGAGGTGAGGTTTAACATCGCACTAAAGATTTTTGCGATTTTTCGCGACGAGCATGCATGTGTGAGTGCTTGAACAAGTCCCAACTAATAACGATTTTATAGTGCTAGCTAACCGAGATACCATGCCGCAGTTTAACATGAATATCCCATCGCGACAGAGTATACTGATTCCAAGCCGACCAGTCCTTTGTTTCAGCCCCTAAATGCTGAATGGCAGGCAGGGTAAAAACAAGTACTATCTTTGAACGTCTTCTGGTATGACGAGGACGGGAATCCAACCCCCCAACCTTCCACTCTTCATGAAGATGCTCTACCACTGGACCACAGAGGTGGTCTTGTGTACAGGACGTTTAGCTAATTACATTAGAGCCTGGAATGAATCAATGATCATGTGGGCACTGGCCATGATTGATGGATGAAATAACGTCATAACTGCTCAAGTTGAACTGTAGGTACAATGAATATTTGTGCATCTGTATAGTCCATTCTCTACATTTGTGGATAGTGGGCGCACATTTGTGCGTCAGGTAAAGCCCTGTAAGGACAGAGAAAGGTTAGAGTGGGTAACGTAATGTAAGAAGAAAGAGGCCAGTGAGGTTGAGGGTCGGGTCAACAACCAGGGTCAGGAATGGAAGGGAAAAAATGGGGAAATAAGGGCCAAGGGGAAGAAGGTACATACACTTGCACCAGGTGGTATGTAGGGCATTTGAAGCAGGCTGCAGTTCTGTCGTGTGTTTATTCTGACAAGTAGCCAACTCTACCTCAGCCAGACACAATGTGTTGTAGACAAAGTTGCACAGAAGCCAAAGCTGGGCTTATTTAACCTTGCAGTCGAGTTGCACATAACCAATACAGATAATGCATTTATAACAAATCTACAGATTTATTCTAAACAAATGGAGCCAAATTTGACCTTGAAAGAGAAGGCTTTCTGCACATACTAGCTTGAATCAACACAACATGTTGATGGGCCACCTTATTCTCCATGTTTGTGCATGATAATTCACCTGGTAAAGCTCCCAAATCATTTAGAATACAAGTATGACAGAGAGAGATTTTTCAACTGGCTACCTGGTCACATTTTAAAGATAGCGGAGACAGATATAATCCCTGACCTGAGCTGTAGATCATGAAGTGAGTGACCACCACGGCCAAAGATGACGGGGCGACCTCAAGACTGTCATTCACAACACACACTCCCAACTTCCAAGTCAAACCACAACCTAACACTTTCATCATGACTGTCAGGAATATTTCAGGCACTCGAGTCGCATGAAATCTTTGATTCATATTCAACCAATGAAACAAATCATAACCACAACATAAAGGGGATTTTTTAAAAATACCTTTTCTAACTCTAACCATACAGTAAACAATGTTTATAACGAACACGCTTATAAAGAACTGGCGGATATAACGAACATATTTTTGGTGCCGTCCATTT